CGCTGTCGCGCGACCACCACCAGTCGCGCGTGGGCTGAGTATAACGCGAGGACGCCCGCCCCTACGCGGATTCGAACCGGTGGCCTTATGATTGCAAGTCAGGCGTGCGGACCACTCGGACACCGGCCGACGAGGCAATGCTAAGATAGCCTCAGCGTCATTCAGTAACTTCTTCACTGACAGATCACCAAGAGAAGCAGCATCGTGAATCACGTCATTGATTTTATCCTTATCAGAATTTTGTCCATCACCCGGAGACATAATTAAACTGTTGGTATCCATGACACTGCCGGCCGTGGCTGAGTTTCACACCTACCTTAACTTGACTGGGAGGACTGTCCAGTCACGCTGTAAAGCCGGTGGGCGTTGACTACCATGTCATTTTCCAATCGATATGTACCAGAGCCACATGTGTGCGTGATTCTTAGCGGTGCCGACAGAGTTGGGTGACCCCTTACGGTATACTATGTTTGATGCGAACAAATGATTCCGGCTACGGTGGAATTAAAGTTTAGCGTGGGATTTTTGGTAGGTTGCTAAGCGGTTTGGCACTTCGGGATTTACTGAAAAAGACATGTGTGCAGCATTAATTTTGGTGCGCAAGGGTCTTCTTAGTATCATTTCGGCAGACGTTTTCCCTGAGCCTCTATGTTCACAGGTTCTGTATGATATCAGCGCCGTTAAGCCAGCTCCTTCCCACTCCATCCCCTAGTTGGACGGCCTGTATTGCATCCTTGAGAGACCGGTTAACGCGCTCCACCATGCCATAAACTGCAGGATTGTAGGGGGCAGTCCGGGAATGTTTCACGTTAAGTCGTTGGGGGGAAAGTTTCGTATTCGCAACTACAGAATCGGGAACCATTATCTGTAACCACTTCCTCTGGCAATCCGAAGCGACTGAACAGATGTCTGAGCCGTCGCAGCACTACGGAAAAGGTCAACTGGTCACATCTATGAACCTCAGGCCATCTACTGTAAAAGCAGGTTTCAACAAGTAGGTTTTTCTTAATCACCGGAGCAGCAACGAAGGGACCCATAATCTCAATTGCAATTTTGGCCCACGGCCTCATCGTGTATGATATCGGTTGCACGGGAGGCTCAACAGGCAGAGAACCTTTACCCATTGTTGAGAAAGCTTGTCCGTTTCTCATAAATGCTTCAATACTTGATGCCGTTCATGGCTACCAAAAGTAAGGTCGGACTGTTTTTTAGTGCGGACAATACCCGGATGACCCACATGAGCCCACACCATTATCCTGTTAACCAGCGACGATGGAGCTACAAATACTGGTCCTTGCATTAGACAACCATGTACGACTGAAAGTTCCTCACGAATTGCATAGTACCAAAGGAATCTCGTATCTGGCTTTATAAAACATATGTGTTACCTGGCATCGAATACTGCTCACTAATACAGTCGAATCTGCGGAAATCTGACCAACATGCTCTTGAGAGGGTACAGCGACGCTTTACAAAGAAACTGTGCGGATATTCCTCCAAGATGACCTACAGAGAGCGCAGTGAAAAACTTGGACTTGACCCAATTTGGCTACGGATAATGAAGATGAACTTGTGTTTCCTGTACAGAATAATTCACCATCACATGCACAATTATGCTAACTGTGTCCATATGGCCGTTAACACTAGATACGAGCTACGAAATAAGGAGACAACGGTCATGATTCCAAAGTTCAATACGCGAATTAGGGAGCGTTTCTTCTTACTACACTGCTCAAAGCTTTGGAACAAACTTCCAGGAGCTATCAGAACTTGTTGCACATTGCGTTTCTTTAAGCTTTCGATAAAAGATTATTTAACCGTTCAAAATGTGATAATAATGTTTCGAACAGCACAGTCCTTAGATAACGCTTTTGAGAACGGAGTTAATGGTGCCTGAAAATGCATGTGATCAAGTGCACAAGTGGTTATATTTTGTTGGCCCGCAGCACTTTATTCTCTTTTTTTCTCGTGTGCGATCAACTCTCATGTGACTGCTAAAAACTTGTCAGACGATAGAACAAGAGGAATGTAAATATTCTGGACCGCTTCGCGCTATACAAATTTTCATTTCGTGCTCACATTTTTTAAAATTTATTATACCATGATATGAAACTGCTGTACCATTATTTGATCCGTCCCTTCTGGGAACGGCTTCTCGCATCGTCGAGCCATATACAATTTATTTATTTATTTATTTATATCACAGGAAATTTTGTTGCTCTTCGACTATCGACGCTGAATGTAAGCCACGAGTTGCTGCAGCGTCGCGTACCTCCCGTTCTCGATTTGTAGTTCAGTAATCGTCTGGCCGGACAAATCGGATCAAAAACTAGACACCATTGCCGCCTCTCTGAATGCTTCCTTTCCATCCTCCAGTTCCAAAGGTAAGCGGGATAATCCATTCGCGATCGTATTCTGCCCTCCTGATCGATAAACGATTTGGAAACCGTAAATGAGAAGTCTGGCGTACCAACGATTGACTTGCATCGGGCAAACCCTTGAGATCCATTCTTGAGGAGGGTGGTGAGAGCAGAGTGGTCTGTTCGCAAAATGAAACGGTGACCAAAGATGTAAAGATGCTATTTCCCGCCAGCCCACATACGAGCGAGATCTTCCTTTCTGCCGGCGGAGAAGTGCCGTTCAAAGTCTGATAACTTTCGTGAAGCATAGACAATAACTTTCTCTTCACAGTTTGGTAGTTGTGAAAGCGCAACACCGAGGCTGACATTGAAGGTATCGGTTGACACAAAAGTACGGCATGATTCGTCAAGGACGGTAACCAATGGAACAGAGTAAATCCGTCGTTTAAGTTAGTCAAAGCTATTTGGTTGTTCACTTCCCCAAACAAACGGTGACCTCTTTTATATCAATTTCTGTAGTGGATCTGCCACGGTTGTAAAATCATAAACATATCGCAAGTCGTAGGAACACAACCAGAAGACTTCAGTTCCGTTAAATTACCTAGGTGTCTGCGAGACAGTTATGGCACGGATATTTTCGTTCCTGGGGCGAATGTCGCTGTGGGAAATAATGTGCCCTAGAAATTGAATCTCAGGAGCCATATATATGCACTTTTTCGTGTTCAAGCGGAGATCGAAGAAGGACTTTATGTAAGCGCTCCTCATGTTTTCCTGACGAGCGACCGGACACAAATATCGTTCAGATTGACAACCTGTCCATCAATACCTGTCGGAGCTTGAGTCATGAACAATTGCCAGGCAGCATGTGCTGAGCTCAGACCCATACGTAAAACTCTGCACTGAAATAATCCATCAGGGGCTAGGAAGGCGGTAAGGGCTTCGGAGTCATCAGATAAAAGCATGTGGAAAAACACACTTTTTTACTCCAAACTTGCTAAATTGTTGTTGTTGTTGTTGTTTTTGTTGTTGTTTCGCCCGCACTTCCATGCTATACCTGGCCGCGTGCCGGTGTGGCATAGTGGCATATGAGCCATCACCTGTCTATCAAATGCTGTGTTCTTTTTAGGGCTGCTTTTATACATGTATTATGAGCGATGAAGCCTCAGCCCGGTCCGTTATGCGGATCATTCAATTATGGCACATTTTTATACGCCAGTCAATTTGTGGCAATGTGCCTTGCATAGGTAAAGTCTTTTATAATCTGGAAGCTATAATCCGTCACCACAGGAGATCAGCCCAGTCATGGCCAACAATGAAATAAGGAAGAATGTAGAAAAGAAGAATTATGTGAAAGAGGTACTATATCGTTAATGTAAAAAATAGGCAGGTATGTTTTTTGCATCAGCGTAAAAATGGCTCGAGCCGATCATACGATCAAATTGTGTGACGTGACAGCCGGAGACAGATAACTGTACGAGTTGTCCATAGGCAAAAGTCACATAGGGAATCTGTTATTGCCATCACTGAATTCCAGTATATGTTTCTGTACTGTTAACTCCAGAAAAGAAGGGGAAATGATTAGCCCTGCATAACAAATGTAGCGAAGGGGATCGCAGGACAATATTACGAATTAATCAATTTGTGGGGAAACAAGCGGAAATAGTTCCTGACGCCAGACCAGTAAATAATTTTGCTCTCGGTGTTAAACAGAAGACAGTTGGTATGAATTATTGAAATCACCGACGGACTTGTTTGACTATTGCTCTGCTCTCGTTCGTGCACGTTTCTCATCGCCATCAATACTGATGAATAGCATGCTCCGCCGCATGCATCGACCATATTTATGTGTGTGTATCGTGTATAGATAGGTTGTAGTTTGGTGGCGGAGATATGGACTTAGAGCACATCAGCAGCTTTGCATTGCTGATTTATCATAACACACATGTAAGCAAAGGAGAAAGTGTGTGAGACGCCTATATCATTCCCCCCCCCCCGGCGAAGAATCCATTCGCATATCTGCATCGTGTAGACACCCTAGGCGTTTTCCCCTCTCAAACGAATTAACACTCCATTGGTTTCATGAACCTTCTCTGATGTTGAGGAAACCTCAATCTTAGAGTCCTTTACCAAACAACCCACTGCATTTGAACACCCTTCTTAAAATCTGTGTGGTCCATCGCCACTTCGACTATTGTTTGTTTGCGTCTATGTTTGGAGCAGATTTTCGCTACTCACTTTGCCATGTGGTAATCTGCAGACCCCCAATACATGCGATTCTAACTACACCATGACTTACTGTAAGATTTTCTCCTCGGTGAGGAATTACGAGTTGCGTGCGACAATTTCCTCTCTAAATTATTGCCTTACCTACTCGACACCCGTCTTGATGGTCCAAATAGCTGTATCACACCAATTAAACAATTCTGCCCCTCAGTAACTAGTCCTTTTGATCTGTGTTGGCACATTAGCAAACACATGGGTGAAATTTCTCATTTGTACAAAAGACTTAGAGCATAATGGCCACCTACTTCGTCGCTGGAGCTCCAAAACCGTTGAACTGCTTTAAGTTAGCTGATACAACCTTCTTCCGCGAGCCCAACTGCTTCCCCCTGTGCTCTTGCGATTTATCAAACACCAGGGTTGAACTCATCATGTAATCTATAAATGAAATTGTGGTATAAATAATCTCAGTATCGCGTTCAAGCAAGGTAAAAGTTCGGTTACTGAAAGTAGTTCAACACTCTGTCAACGCTTTTGCCGCTCTTTTTCGTCTTTCACTTTCCTCGTACAGGACTGAGCAAGGATTGTCGTCTACCCTCCGAGCTTCTTTGAATCGCATATATGTGTAGTTGTCCACAATGCTTGCTTCCAACGACCGGTGTAGTGCATCCGGCAGTGTGGTGCCCGTTAACCATTCGGTGACACGTTGCGCACAATCGTTCTGTACTGGATGGCAATCCCCACAGACGGCACAAAAGTATCGTTTGCACCTGCTGTCAGTGACGTAAAACATGTTCTTTTGATTTCGGTGTGGCAGTTGACCTGGAAGGATGGAAAAAGTGAAATTTGATGATTCTTGTTATTGAACGAAATCATGAGCAAGTAGTCTTTGTAACAACTGTGTCTTATGGCCAAACTGCGTTCTAAGTCGCAGTGACGGCCCATAGAGATTGAAGAACTTAGTGCGAAAGCTGAAGGAAGTAGTTTCGTCTCCTCCAGCTGTGCAGAAACAGCATTTGCCAAACCAGTTGGAAGATAGGTTTGCACCGCTAAACCCCTATAGACAGTCGAGGAACCAATCATGTCTAATAATTATCATGAATTGTGTCCGGAATTGTGGATGCTCTGTTGACCAGAATTATGATCCTCTCTGACAAAAGTAACTTGCACAATGAAGCTGTTTGACACTAGCACTGGTAACCGATGTAGAAGCAAGACAAAAACGAATCAATACCTGTCGTGACCTTACAGCACCCGGAATCTCACAACTAAGGCTACTAAAGAGATAGAAGACAAGTTCCATGTCCCGCAAAGACTGTGATTGAAAGCCCTGGGAATTTATGATAGAAGGTATCGTTGCCTACTGAGTAACCTCATGATAACCTAACGGATTCTGTAAGATCCCGGTCAATATTCCTAACAGTTGCCAGGCTTTAGCTCTTACACCCGGCGGGCAGAATTCCCAGTCAGTGATGATGCTGGTGATCTAATTGCAACGGTCGTAAAAAAAGAGTCCCTCCTACAGCACTGCTGTAACGGATATGTTCTTCCAAACCTGGACATTTCATCATTACAAATGAGCCCTTCTGTGGGAGGTATTAAGCCTCAACTGACTCGGTAACCTGCGACTCTATGCATGAAGTGGTCATGGGCGACTGGCGAATATCTGAAGCGTAAACTGCAACTCCAGCACTGGAAGTCGTCTGTCCCCTCACTTACCATTGTGGGAACACAGCTAGAGCTTGTGGACAACTTTGTCTGTACTGGAAGCTGTATTTCTGCTTATTGTTCCGTTGGGAAGGAGGTATCCTTCACATCGCCAAAGCCCGATTGGCATGTACCAATCTGAGTAATTTGTGGCATTGTCGGGACATATCTTTCCCCTTAACGTGGAAGGTCAACAAAGCTTGTGTCCACGCGGTCCTGTTGTACGGAAGTGAGACCTGGCCGATTTGTTTGGACGACGTGCGTCGAACTTTGGGTCTCCGACAATGCACGCTGGCGGCATTTAGCTTGTGTGTGGTGGCAGCACCGGGTTTACTACGATGAAGTCCGGTGTCGCGTCTCGGCAGACATGAGCATTCTACTTGATCGTCTTGTTACAGTGCGTCAATTGAGGTGGCTTGGCCACGTCCCACGAATGTTATGCGAGCGCTTACCCCGCAACGCCCTATCTGCTCGCACACGATCGAATCGGAAGTGAAGGCTCGGAGGTCACTCAACAACTTGGCTGCAAAGCTATCGTCGGCCCTGTACGTCTTCCTCATTTATGGCCCATGGATCACACACTTGGTGATATGGCACGAAAGCGGAATCAAAGAAATAAGTGTATATTTAGAAGTTTTGAACAATATGCTAACGCTATACTAATCCAAATAATAAACAACGAACAAAATGGCGTAAGGAAGCAAAAAGAAAAACATAAACCAAAAGTCGAAAACATTGTTCACTTTTCTTGATATATGTATTCTTTTTTTTACCTTTGTTCCCCTTGAGCTTTTCGATAGCTCGGTACCGACTTATAGATTGCTGCATATATATATATATATATATATATATATATCAGTTGCAAGAGAAGTGCAGAGAACGACACCAGCCTTTGTACTCGCTTTTTGTTGATTTCACCAAGGCATTTGATACGGTGAACCGCGAGGCACTGTGGCTGGTGTTGGGTAAGTTTGGTTTCCCGCGTAATTTGTAAGTTTAATTGAATGTCTGCACAGTGGTATGCGAGCGAGGGTGCAGCTGAGTGGAGAGACCTCGGATGACTTTACAGTTGTTTCTGGTGTGAAGCAAGGCTGTGTCTTAGCTCCTGCCCTGTTTAATATCTATCTTCATGCAATGTTGTCTTGTGCTTTTGATGCGGCTTGTGCCTACGGTGTTCGTGTGGAGCACCGTATTGATGGTGGGTTGTTGAACATCCGTCGTTTCGGTGCGAGAACTCTAGTCTGTGAGACAACTATCCGTATGTTGCTGTTTGCTGACGACTGTGCGTTGTTTTCACACAGCGCGGATGAGTTGCAGCACATGACTAGTGCTCTGGCTTCGACAGCGGCCAAATTCGGGCTCACCATCAACAAAAGCAAAACTGTCTGTCTCTTCCAGCCTTCACCGCAGGTGCAATCTTCAATATTGCCGCAAATCAGCATTGGTGCTGAAGTATTGGAAACCACCTCCCGCTTCTGCTACCTTGGGAGTGTGATGTCGACTGACCAGCAGCTACACGTTGAGTTGCGTAATCGCGTGTCGAAGGCGGCAGCGGCATTCGGGAAGCTTGAGTACCGGGTGTGGAACAACCATCAGCTTAGCATTGGCACAAAGCTGATGGTGTACAAATCCATGGTACTGTCCGTTCTTCTATACGGCAGTGAAACGTGGACGATGTACCGGCGGGATGTGCGATATCTCGAGCGGTTCCATCAGCAGTGTCTGCGACGAATTTTGCGGATCGGCTGGAGCGCCAGAGTTGCAGACACGGAAGTGTTGCGCCGAAGTGGGATGTATGCAGTGGACTGCATACTTTTACTGAGACACCTGAGATGGCTCGGTCATGTGAGCCGTATGGATTCGACTCGGATACCGAAACAACTCTTATACGGTCAGCTGAGTATTGGGAAGCGGCACGTGGGGAAACCCAAGTTACGTTACCAGGACATGATTAAAGTGAGCCTCACACGTTCTAATCTTGATTGCAGATCATGGGAATCGAAGGCGGTTGATCGGCGTGCATGGCGCGATCTAATCACGAAGGCAGTTGCTGAGGTGCGGGAGAAATCCCTCATGCATGCAGAGAAGAAGCGGCAGTTGCGGAAGCGGCAGTTGCGGAAGCGGCAAGCACCGATGAATTGTACTCCATCGACATCGAGCGCATTGTGCTGTAGAACATGCGGTCGCGAGTGCCTTAGTCAGGCAGGCCTAGTGAGCCATGAGAGAGGTCACTCGGGACCACTGCCGAAGCGACGACGGGTCCCGCAGTGAACGTAGGCAGCACCGGCGCAGCGTTTGTAGGCACGCTGAATTCGATTTACTAACCGCGTGCTTGCATGCTAAGTCTCTTTATTTCAGGTGGTGGGTTTTCGGTTCTCTCCTAATGCCTTTCTTTCTAATATAAATATCTAGTGGGCCATGAGCTAGGTCCCTTGGGGCCACTACAGAAGCCACGACGGGTCCTGCAGAGAATTACGTCGAGCCGGCGCAGCGTTCGTAGGCACGCTGAATTCGATTTACTAACCGCGTGCTTGCATGCTAAGTCTCTTTATTTCAGGTGGTGGGTTTACGGTTTTTACCTTACTGCTTTTCTTTCTCATATAAATATCTCCCTGTACTCTATTCCATTAACTTGCACACATCGCTTCAGCCAATCGTATTCGATTTCCATAACATTTTTGTGTTCGTGGCATACCGTGAACTATACTTCCTGACCTCGTGCACTTATCTAGGATTTGTTTGTAAACAACTTACTACGTATGCTATTTAATTAAGGTTTATGTCACCGTTTCCTTATGCATTAATCGAGTTTTTCTCTTTTTCTTTCTCTCTCTCTCTCTCTCAAGTGATTGGCTGTTGTTTGATATCCCCGGTGTGGCTGCGCTAGATGTGCATGTTGACAAGGTACCTACCTGTCTATTACCTACTACGCCGTCCATACTGGCTCCAGGAGTCAGTTGGTCGTTGCTGGAGGGGACGGGGTGCACGGTCCTTGTGGCTGTGTTAGGCTCGAAGAGTGGTTCCATGCACTCAGTGTGGAGCGGACTACGGTCCAGCCACCGTCTTGTGTGCGCTTGATTCCCCAAATACAGTGTACTTGTGTTTGCCTGTGAAGGAGTGTGGGCCGGCTCCGTTGATGAAACGTGGCTCCCATCCACATGTCTCCCGATCTTATTCCTTCGGGTTTACACTGGATATGGGGTGTGTGGTTGGAGCTGTGGGTGGTGCAGCGCAAGCTATCCATGGTCCCTCTGTAGGCGCACGCGTCCTGTGGCTTGCCACAGTGACAGGCAAATCCGAAACCGGATGCCGCCAACCATATATATATATATATATATATATCCATAGCGTCGTATATTTGTTTTCTCCAATATGCCAGACATACGCAGTTTTCAGAAAAGTGGGTGTTGCAATGTTTAGATAGCTTTTAGAAGAAGGAATCAACTGAAACACTTAGAGATATTGCGGCCAATTTTGAAACTGCACAGAACTTCTGACCAGAGCAGTGCTTGTAGTTGAAATGCCGGCCCGTAGACTTAACGATCACAAGCTTGCCTTGTAATCTGAGAGCGCAGGTTCGAGCCTGCGTAGGGACCGTGCGACCTTTGCAGTATCCTTAGCCCACGTGCTAATGCTGATGGCTGTGTGGCAGCGAAGTGCCGGTACTGCGTACTGGCGTACGGCTGATACCTGTCTGAGGATGATATATAGATCCATACATGTTGTAGCAGAGCGGTGCGGCAACAGTCAATCCAAGCACTCACGCGGGCGAACAGGTACGAGTCATGGAAATATTTTGCTGTTGCTCATCCCAACACTGGCACCACACGACCGCGGTTTCGTCCTGGTTTGGACTCATCATGTGGAGATAGCCTCGGCTGGGGTGGAAATCAGAGCCTAGTGGTTCACGACTAATGCTATAAACACTATGCCACCGAGATCCGTGAGTCATGTTTCCTTCCAATGCACCACATTGTCCGGAGTTTGCTCTTGACACATCTATGCGTCTACGCTGTCTGAGCTGTTGCAGAATTTCTGCATGTTTCACTTCAAATCTCCGCTTCTCCCCTTCCGGGCAGGCTCGGATTCATTCATCAGCTCGCGATTTGCTTATT